CGTTAAGAGAAATAATGATTCTTTGATCCATCCCGGGAGCTGCGGCGCTGGTTCCGACCCGGCTCCTCGGGGGCCCGTGCTTCACGCGACGCAACGCGCCTGTTCCACCTCGTGTCCTCCGCAGGACCACTGCCCCGGGCCCCGTGTTCCCCCCGGGCTGTCCTGGTTCCCCCCGAGCTGTCCCGGTTTCCCCCGGTCCCCCCCGGGCTGTCCCTGTCCTCCCCGGTGCCCGCGGCGGGCGGTGGCGCGGCCCGGCGGCGCCCCCTGGCGGATCGCGGCGGTTCCTGCCCTCGCCCGGCCCCGGCCCCGCTCCGCCGCAGCCGCTCCCGCCCTCGCTCCTGCCTGGCTTGTTGCTTCATCAAAGTCACTTGGTAGATACAGATTGCCTGCCCTCTCGTAGGACCCTCAGCATGCCGGAGACTTGAAGGAAATTATTAGTTTTTAGCTGATTGAATAAACAGCATTTACCAACTTGTGTGCTGTGGCGGCAGGGGGCAGGGATGGTTAGAGCTGCTGTGCTGAATCCCTGCTTAAGGAACTGATCTTCATTCTCCCTTCTCACCTACTGTTAAAATTTCTTAACCGATAAAGCTATTTCCCGTGTCTTTTAATTTATGGCCTTCTTGCCTTGAGTGGTCCGAAGTGCCTCCCGATTAGATCTTGTGTGGTGCAGCCCCCGCAGGGTGGCTGGTCCCCTGTGGACATGGAGACCGGGCGTGAGGCTGTGCTGCTGGCCTCGAGTGCCGCTCACAGCAGCATCCCCTGCTGCCTGGGAAGGGCTGCCTTTCCTCCCCTGCCCCCAGAATGGGTTTGTGGTGGGAAGATGATTTGCTATAAACCTGGTTTCTGGAGCAATGGCGCCCTGTTGCAGGGCAGAGGGTGGGTGGCAGTGCTTGGGGCTGGGCAGCAGCTGATGCTCCAGTGAGCACCGCTCCAGCTCCATCTCTGCCCGGCAGTGAGGGTGGGCAGCCTGGGGGAGCAAGAGCACAAGGCACCATGTGAAGTCTCTCTAGACTCAGGGACAAGGCTGGGCCTGTTCCAGTGATGGCTCAGGTCTCCCTTGGCCGCAGAGCAGCAGATTTCCCTGGTCCATTGGTCCCACGGAGACAGAGTTCTCACTGTGGATGGCAGATCTGGCCATGAGGAGAGCTCAACCCAGAGCAGAATCCACGCTAACTAACTAAATCCACACTAACTTTCCAAATGCTGAAGGGTTTTTGGAATGTTTGAAGTAGTGATGAAATGTTTGGCTTAATTTTTTTCTCCCTCTCTAGAAGGCTGTTCAGGCTGCCTTAGGAACTGGTGGGGACCATGTTTTACTAAATTGTTTTCTTAATTGTGTTGCTTGGAAGTTCCATTTCTGAAATAATAATTGCAGTCTCCTAACCTGAGCTGTCATCCAACACAGAGTGTAGTAGAATCTCATGAAATTCTCCTTCATGGAGCCAGTGAAAAATTTCATTCATTTTTCAGTGTGGAAGAGGGTTTTGTAGTAATGGTTTAAAAGATTCAGTATGTTTAGGGTTAAAAAAGAAAAGGCTAACAGGTCGATACATCTGTTCCTTTAAAAAACGCATTCTCCATTTTTGAGACATCATAAATATGTAGATGAGGCCTCTTTAATTACTGCCTAGGGCTATAAACTCTCAATGCTAGAGGGAGGGAAAAATGAAGAATAATTCACCTTTTTTTTTTTTTTTTTTTTAAGAGAGAGAGACTGGGTCTTTGCCTCAGAAAAGAATGAAGAATGGGGCTTTTTATTGTTGAATTACCAGAAGGTGCTGGGAACACTACTTCTTTTTTTGTTTATCCTTTTGGATGGGGTTAGCATGTAAAGCAGTAGTGTACAACCTTTCTGGCTAATGTGTGCACCAAACAGAGGGGATTTGTTACAAAGCACCAGGAAAAATTTCCTTCTCTATCCTCCTCTGCCAGTACCCTTAATCCTGATCAGCACCATCCCCTGCTGTCTCTTGAGCCGCTCGCAGGCCCGGATCTCAGCGTGCTGCCCAATGCAGGGACACCGCAGGCCAGCCAGGGACCCTGCAAAGTCGCTTTCACTTGTGACCTGATAAGTGCACAGCACTTAACCGAATAGAAGTCTGTTCTTATTCAGCCCTGACGGCCTTTCTGTATCTTAAGTACTGTTATTTTCGACTAAGGTGATCTTGCTGCTGCTTTTAAAATAGGATGAGATCGACAGAAAGGGTATTTTTTTAAATTTCAGGACGTGGATGTGGGGAACAAGGCCAGAGTACAGCAATACCCATGTAATAGGTATAGTTACTGGAAATTTAATTCTGCTGTTATTTTTCTTCCAGCCAAAATGGTCTCGTGTCAAAATGCTTATTCTGCTGTGGTGAAATTTCTGATCTCTATGATAATTTTCACTTCCCATGTTTAATCTTTTAATTCTTGCTGAGGCCCATGAAAGAGTAATTTCCAGATAATAATGGTTTCCCACTAATAAGCTCTGCGTTTTTTATAGCAGAAATTACTTAGAGCCAGTAAGCTCACTGAAAAAAATTACTCTATTTGATGCTCTTATGATGTGTCTGAGAGCAAGATAAAGATGAGTCTTGCAGCGGTGAGGCTGGGCACTTCAAATACCAAGTGTTGTGTCATTGTGTGTGATGGGGCTCCATGTGTACAATTCTGGCTGCTTGGTTCATGCAACAAATGTTTGCTGTGCAGGGGAGTAGTGGGCTGAGGGTCTTCTCTTGACCAGGAGAGAATAAATGAGATTGGGCTGTGAAAGCAGCACACTGTCAGCTGGAAGGGCTGGTGGGTGATTGTCCATCCCTGCTGGGAGGGAGAAGAGGCAGAGGGAGCCTGGCAGGGCAAAGACTCAGCCATAGAGCTAATGTCATGAGAACAAGGGGAATTGAGCATGGAAGTGAAAATTCTTCTACCCACTAGGGGAAGGGTGAAAGTTAGAGAGAGCTTTTCTATTACAGCCATTGGTTTTTTAAACCAGAACTGTTTTGGAGACTGAAATGGATCAGATTGTTACAGAATTTGTGTGCCCTGTCTCTGTAGGAGAGTAGGGGATTGCACTCCCAGTCCTGCCTCCAAGGGCCTCGTTGGGCTTTGAGAAGAAGCCCCATTGCTATGTGGGAGCAATGGCAATTTGGACAAGTACTATAGAAAGTGGTGGCTCAGGTAGCTGATGGCATGATAGCATACTCTGATTTTGTTTATGGTTAACTGTAAGGCAGTGAACTGGAGTGGCATTACATGTGTACACATGAAATTGTAATTCAAAAATGTCATGACTTTCTTGAAAAAAAAAAAAAGTGCCTCAGTTTGCATGTCTTCAGATTTTTCAACAAAAGTCTGTGTGCTATATGTATTTGTTTTCAGTGTACCTTTCTCCATCTGTGCTGATGTTCAATTAAAATGCAGATAATGTGTCCTGGCTAGTAAGATGGATCACTGGTGAAGTACTGTCATGTCTAGGCTAGCTTATCTCTTGATAAATACCCCTGCTGTCCACTGAGAGATTAAACTTGATGACTGCTGAGGTCTGTTTGGGGGTCCTACAGGCAGATAAGACTGTGTAACTGGCTTTTAATAAAGTACATCAGTTTACATTTGCTAGAGGACCATTGGATGGCACTTGCTATTGAGAAGGCAGTGGCATAATCAGAAGATAATACTTGCATACTTGGCTCTTCTGTTTCATAAGTATTATAATTTATTGACAGGAATGCTTTATTGAGCCCTTTTGTGTCTAGAGCTTGGAGGTGGGGAGCTTGAGCTGCTGTTCTAAGACCTCATTTAGTTGTCTAGCAGGAAAGATTTCTTCCCCTGAGTCTAATCCAACAGGAGCCATGAAAGAACATTATCAGCTAGGTACAGAAATCTCCAGCAGTTTGGGTGTGTGGGATGCCTGCAGATCTGTGGTCTGGGGTCTGTCTCATTGTGAGAGCTCTGTAATCAAGGTTCCCACCACGGGGAACCCTCTTCCCCTCAAGGAGGTTGACTATGGGCAGTGCTGGAATTGTTTAACTGAAGAGATGTTGAGTTGTGCACCAGAAGTGGTGAACAGTCAGCTTCTCTAACCAGACAGGTATCTGAAAAATTTGCTCTCTCTTATGCATGTGGAGGGAGTGGAAAACAGTTTTGTCATGAACAGTGCTCCAAATTAACAAACCACTCAGTGCCACTGAAGAGGTTCATGAGGGAGAGGTTTCTGTGCAAGACTGGGACCTTGCTTGTGCTACCATAAAGTTTGGTGTAAATAGTTTGGTGGTGCATTTGGGTATGTACTTCTGTGCCCACTCATTGCTCATGAACTCCAAACATTACTCTGAGCCTTAATTTTTATTTTCTAGGTTTTCTTTAATGTTACAGGAAGGTTTAATTTGCCTTAAATCGCACTAATTGTTAAGAGATGGACCTAAAGACCACAGGCCATGTTTTTCCAGAAGTAATAAGTAGTTTGTTCAGCTATAGATACATGAATGAACACAGTTTTTCTAGAAGGCAGAAACTGTGCAGCCCTTTTCTCTGAAGACTAGGCCTATTCCATAGATTTATTCTAGGTTGTACATCTGGACATTTGTCTTTCTTAAAGTCTGGGCTGTGTTGTGGATCCCAGTCCTTCCTGCCCTGTGATCTTGGCCATTTCAAGGGCTCATGAAATAGTTTTGCTGGTCGGAAGAGAGTCCAAAATGTACCTGTTGCTTTTATTTTCAATGCAGAAATCCAGATTCTTCAGGACACGCATTTTGTGCTATTTTTGGCCATGTAATACTCTGCTGTGTCTGATTCATTTAATATTTATGGGAGGTATTTTCTCTTAGAGGAAGATTAGGAAGAATCCCCATGCCCTTGTCCTTGCAAAAGCTAGGCTGTCATTGTTATTGGAATTATTATTATTATTTTATCTCACAATGTGCTCAGGGGTTTCTTGCAAGCATTTCTGTTCAATTGTTCAGGTGGCGGAAGCGTATGGACCATGTTCAGTGATCTTTATTGTCCTTTTTGTCTTGCAGATTGAGGGATTTTAATGGCTTTCAGGTAGAAGAAAGTGGAGACAATCAAAATGAATTCTATGGACAGGCACATACAGCAGACCAATGACCGGCTGCAGTGCATAAAACAGGTGAGTGAAGGTGGAGGCCATTGCTGCTGAATGCGGGCTGGGTGTGGTGTGCCAGGTGTTGCACATTACAGTGTCCTGTTGCTGAAGGAGTGTCCTTGCCCTTCAGAGGGAAGCAGTGAAGCACACTAATCTCATTGAAGAGAGTATCTGCTGTGAGAGCTGGTGTATTAACCTCAAAAGCCAAACTTTCCTGTACACCTTTCTAAGAACTCTTTAGCCTGGAGACTCAACAAATCTGTCTCAGCTGGAAGCAGAGTGGTGCTCGTCCTGCCAGCTCAGCCCTGGAGGGTCACAGCGGGCAGCTGTCATTCTAGTGCTCTGAGTGCAGTAATCCACAATTCCAATGGGCCAGTTTTGATTTTAATCCAGTGGCTGACCTGAGACCTGCACTGCCTGGAGACTCAGAACTTGGATGGTTGGCATGCCTCCAAGTGCTGAGAGTGCTGCTTAATCAGTTTGCATGGAGATTGCAAAAACTTCTGATTGCGAGGTAAAATTTTCAGAAGCATCTGTTTGTGAAGATGAAGGGCTCTTCACATGCCACTGCCTTTCAGTGAATTATGTCTCATTTACAGATTTCCCCACTGTAACTGTGCCTGCAAATGCTTTTGTAACTGAGCAACGGCAGGGAGGCAGAGACTGTCTTTCCCTGCTTTACTCTTCTCAGTGAACTTTGCTCTCTAGGGTTGCAGGCTGTGTATATGTGTTCTTATCCACATGCAACAATCCTAACAGAGTTTTCATAGCAATGGTCCTTTTAGAGGAGGTGAGCAAGAAAGTGTTTTTTCATGTTGATGTTTCCTGTATTTATCTCAAAATAATGCATGCATGCAGCAAACAGGTGCATAAATGCAAGCTGCACACAGATATTTTCAAGATCCCACCTGGATCCAGGAGATGAGCTCCAAAGTTCATCTCTTCAGACTGGTTGAAATTTTCTGAATTACACTGGAAAAACAGAAACCTGTTATTCCATGAAATAATGTTCCCAAATATTTTTTCACTGTTGTCTGGGCAGTTTTGTTTCTCAGATTGGGTCACAGCAGAGTCCTGCTGCTTTAGTTTTTTATTTGTGTTAGCTAAGTGAAAAACCTGCCTGCCTACTTGTGCCCTAGGACATATGCATATTGCTTCTTGAGGCAGCCCAGCATTTCTCTGTTCATAGATTTGTCTTGTAGACACAAGCACCCTAAATCAAAGGAACTGATAAAAGATAAGTGTGGGGGTGGTACTGGATGAGCTCTGGATTTTTAAATTTATTTCTTTAAGGACAACTTCCTCAACAGAAGCAGCCAAGGGCAAGTGCTGATCTCTCTGTGGTGAGCAGCAATAGGGCACAGGAAAATGCAGTGGCACTGTCAGGGGAGGTCCAGCCTGGGCATTAGGAAAAGGCTCTTAACTGAGAGCATGGTCAGTCACTGGAACAGGCTACCTATGGAAGGGGTCACAGCACTAAGCCTGTCAGAGTTCAAGGAACATCCAGATGATACCCTTAGTCACATGATTTAATTTTAGGTAGTCCTCTAAGGAGCAGGAAGTTGGCCTTATTATTACTTAGAGGTCCATTCCAGTTTGATATATTCTTTGATTCTATAAGAATGTGTTTATCTTCTCAGTTTCATCAATCTTCCATCATTATGTTATTATAGCTTTTCCTAGATATTAATGGAAGTTTACATTTTCTAGAATGTGTTGTAATGCATTCTATGTGGGGAATATCTGGGGTTTTGCAGGTGATGCTTTGGGTGATACAGAAAAAGATTATAGCTCACACCTAAACTAGATGATTTTTCTCTCCATATTTCCTTTATAAGAGAGAGTTTCAGAATGAATCAAACAAAGCTAGTTCATAGGTCAAGGAGCAGAAAACAGGAATCTTTTCCTGCAGAATTGCTGGTGGTAATCCATCCTCGCTCTGTGGTGTCTCTCTTTCATCACTCTACAGTGAAAGTTAATGCATCTAATGGCCCTTCAGAGGCCTGAGGAAAATATGAATTTGAGGATTTCATCCCAGTTTCTTATGAACAACTATCTGGTTCAGAAAAAACATGGCCTTGACTGGTACAAATTGGTGTCCTTTTTGGCCATCCTAGCCCATAGGATGAAGAATGAAAGTTAAATTGCAGAACAATTTAACCTTCTAGCTGTAAGAACAGACCTTTACATCAAGTGGAGACAAATGGAGGATGCTGCTCAGCTCCTTTTTCTAGAGCTGTCAGTTTCTGTACATAATTTATATTATTTTAATTAGATAAGAGAATATCAAATTACACTTCTTAAAGTTTTAAAGAGATAATTTTGCCTATGTAATGGGTACTCTGTCAGTTAAACCACTAACTTCATTTATACATAGTGCTGTTTTGCATGTGCAGCTTGGATATTTCTTCAGTGATGAAGGCCGGGGGAAGGGAGGAAGGTCAGGCTGCCCATAATTTGTGAAGCACTCTCTGTTTTCTTTGATCCTGGAAGAAAGCTTGGGCTAGACCAGGAGCATGCTTGTGTCAGAGGTCAAAGGATGCCTGTAAAGGAGCTGTCCTGCTTGGGAATGCTTGTGAATTCATGGTTCCACCATTCTGTTTATGCTCAAAAAAAAGAGAAGGGGAAAACTCTTGTTTTCAACTCATGACAATCTGTAGTTAATTAAGACTGTGGCTGAACACTGAAAATATGTCTCAGAAAGCTTTTTTTTTGTGCAAGTGGCGCTACTTGTAGTTTTGTTGGAGAGGAATGACTTTTTTTTTAAAAAGAATTTGTTTTGTTGATGAAAGTAGTATCAAAACTGCTGTTTGCTTTTTCATAGTTCCAGACTCTTGTGCTGTTATCTTTGCTGTAGTGGAGAAAGGCAGTTAGTTTCTGTCTCTTTTTGGAAGACACTCAGCTCTCTGTCACAGGGTCATAAATTTCCAGCTTGAGGACATTTACCTTGTTCTTTGAGACAGGCCATTAGCTGGCTAATACTAGAAAGAGTCATTTCCAGTTCACCCATTGAGAGCTGGACTGCACACTGCCCTGTGCATGCTGAGTTTGGGAGCAAAGCCCTTCCTTGCATGGCCATAAAAATTATCTTCACCTATTTTGGGGATTAACTGCAGGGGCAGACAAACATGTGTCTGCCTTTTCTTCTGGTCTCTCCCTTTTCCCAGACTGTGAACAAACAGTGCTGCTGTTCCCCTGGGCACACATGTGCTTTTGGGGTGGTTGGCACAGCAGTGGTGTGGAAGGTGCACTGCAGCAGGGGAAGGAGGAAAGCCACCCTTCTTTGGCACCCAGCATCTGCAAGTTTTATAACCCTGCTGGCAGCCAGTGGCTCCTGCAGCCAGACTGAGAGCTGTCTGCAGCCCTCCTTGCCCCTCACTCCAGCCCCTGAGAAATGCTATAAATGGTAATCCGTGTGCCTCTTTAACTAGATCAGGTTTCAGCACAGGGTCAGGACAGGCTTCTTTCTTCCCAGCTCTGTGACTTGTGAGACACCCACAATATCCTTGCTGACTTCTGTTCCAGGATCAAGGTTGTGCTTTACCTTCATCTTTTTTAGTGCTTTAAAGCTACAAACCCAAAACTTGTATATGATCAGCTAGTTAGGAAATGAAGTGTGTGTTAAGAAGTGTTTCAGAATAGATGAAAGGGCAAACTGAAGAGGTGGCTGTGTATTTATGCTTAAAAAAACCCAGACTTCTGTGCAAGGCTGGAACAGCTTGTGTGGTCTCTTTGTAGCTGATTCCCTTAGTATTTGTAAGTGTGTGTGCTTTAAAATCAAACATAGCTTTTTTGATGTACAGTGGAAAAAGCCAAAGTAACAAGCTTTCCTTAACACGTGCAATTAGTTTGTCATGACACAGGAGACTCTTCAGGGTACACTGGAGGAAGCTGCATGTTCAGGCTTTTTTCTTTAAGTCTTTGTCCATGCAAACAAAACCACAGAATTACTTTTGTGCGGAGCAAAGGTCTGATGGCCCCTGAGAATTCCCTGCCATATTTGAGGCTGCAGTAATAATCTGTTTATCTGCTCATGGCTCAGGTGGCTCTGGCACAATGTCCATGAAGCCGTGGGGCAGCAGGAGCTGGTTCAGGCAGGCATGGAGCTGAATTTGAGAGCTGCCTTGCTGCCCAGGCACAGCCCTCTGAAGGAACCAGCTTGGCTCCTGCTGCATAGAAAATCCCAGTAAAGAATTGACTGGCTTTCTTAAAGCATTCTTCAGAGCAGTCCAGAGGAGTGGCTTTAACCAGATGCTGCCCATTGCATTTGTTAGGTGATGGAAGCAAATACCAGGCAAAATCAGTGGGTTAGGTAACATCTCTCTACTCTTATTCTAATGGGTCTACTTGAAAAACTTGGAGCTATAATGAATCTAGGGACTTCTACCCTTTGTGTCTCTGTTTGCTGTCAGTTTTGTAAGGTTTCTGTATGTTTCTTCTGAAATTCCTGCAAAGAAGTAGATGAAAAAACCCCTTTCTGTATTGAAATTATGAGGAAGTCTCCCCTTTCAGAAAGGGTGTGTGATATCTTCCCACTGTGCTGAGTACAGCTGTTCGGCTGTGTTCTAAAGCTGTGCTGAAATGTTAGTAACAGGTTAAGGAGAAGTGTGAAAAGGCTCTCTGGTGTCAAAAGTATTAGATCATGGTGGGAACAGGCAAGGCTGGTTCTGCTGCTTGTGTCATGGTACATCAGGGCACACTGAGCTGTATCATCAAATGGTGCAGGAGCACCACGTAATTGGAGACACACGTCACACAGCTGATTTCCAGAAAGCCATTAGCATTTCTCCCCTCTTTCCTTCCAGAAGGCTTGTGAATTGCTGCCTAGCAATGCTTTTTAGTGCCTACCCAGCCATTCAGAGAGATATGCTAAAAGTTGTAATTGCTGTGTGTTTGTGTTGATATTTTCTTGCTCAGATTGGAAACAAGCAAGCCCATTTCTTTCATCACTCAGCAGCTAGGTTTTTGGTAGCTTGCAATTCAGAGGAAAATAGAATTCTTTGTATATTTACATAACTGTTTTT